CTGAAAGAACAGGAAGAGAACATCCCCCATCGCCTGTGGATCAGGGTAATCCAATGCCCCAGCTGCGGTCACAGCCCCCTCCTCAGAGCCTCTCCCGCCCCTGTCTGGAAGGCACAACTGCACCTCCTTTTCCTGGGGCACCCTCGCCCTAAAGCCAACCCTTCCTGGCACCCCCTGTACGTTCTTCCTCCCTCCACTGCACCAGGATCACCAGCAGGGGTGGGTCTTCAGTCTGGAGCGCAGGGGGAAGGTGGTGCACCTGCTCCTTCTCTGGGACCCTGTCCCCACCCTGTCCACGACACTTTCCCAGGCAGAACCACAGCTCTTATCTCTCCCTGGCCCCAGGCTGGACAACCGATGCCCACACCCTGGCTGGCACCTGGTGGGTTTACTCAGCAAACATCTGTGGCCCCGCCCCTGGGTTGTCCAGGGCAGGAAACCGGTGGCCTCCTGGGGGAATGTGCAGGAGGGCAAGTGATAGGGGGCTGGGGCAGAACATTTCTGGCAGACAGGCATCGCAGAGTAATAACCAAGCAGACGCTAGCCAGTTCAAGGTCACCTTGACTCCTCCCTCGCAGCTCCCCGCTCCCGGCCCTGCTCCCAGCTGCTCCTAGTCCTATTCCTTCCACCCTTTCCCAGCCCCCAGCAAGCCCACCAGAGCCCACCCGGAGCACACGGCTCAGTGGCAAGCAAGAGCATTTGCTTTTCTAATAAAGGCGCCCAGGTCCTCCCGCTGTTTGCCAAGCACTGTTTGCTTAACACAGAAGCAGCCGAGCCAGCAAACCGGTTGGGCTGGTTTGCTGAGCAGGAGGGGACCAGGGAAGACTTTGGAACCACTGGTGAAACCAGGAAGAGTCCCAAACCCAGGGCACCAAGCATGGCGGGGCTCTACACTCACTGTATAGACGGGCACCCGGGGAACCTCCCCTAGGCTGACCCAGGGCATTGCCTGGACTAAGCCTGGACAGACAGAAAAAAAAAAAAAGCCTTCCAAGTTCAGGGGCCACAGCACCTTGGGGGAAGCAGAGGGCAGGGGGCAGACAAGACGGGGAGGAAGAGGAAAAAACAGTAAAAGGGGGCTTATAAAAGAGAAACTGACATTAGCAAGAAAGGGCAGAGACCACCTCAAATTTTTTTTTGATCGCGCCAAGATGGAAAACGCGTACAAGTGACTAAGTGCCCTTCCATTTCCGGATGCAGGTTTAAGGTCTCCCTTCCCCACCCCCACGCGGCTTTCAGGAATGAGCACTCAATACCCAGATCCCCAAGGACAGACTCAGGGCCACAGTTCAATTTCAAGAGCACGACTCACTGGGCATGTAGCCCTGGCCGGCATATTAGAAAGTTCTATCAACACATTCTCCCTGCCCTTTTGCAATCACCCTCCAGGGCTGGTGCAAGGCCACGGTGAGTGTGGGAGCAAGCGCAGATCCACTCACGCATTCATTCACTTGTTCCAAACAACACGCCAGAGCCTACTACGTCTGTGAAACACTAGCCACGTTCGTTTTCAATCAGGTGTGCCTTCAATTAATTCACACCGGCTTCATTGTTGACTAAAGGAATGAATGAACATTTTAAATTCTCGCCACAGGCCCGTGGTATCAGCCCCATTTCACAGATGGGGTAACTGAGGGTCAGAGAAGTAAAGGGAATTATCCAAAGCCACAGAGCTAGTAGCTGGAATTCAAACCTGGACTGTTTGGTGTCCTTGCTCCCTGGATTGTTATCCTAACCAGCCAAAGCTCATTTCATTCCCCTCCACGGAAATTTCGAAAGGAGACGGGGTCCAGGCAGAGTAAAACCAAGAGTCTGAGCTGGGACAGGTGCCTCTCGGGGACTTCCGGGTCTTGGCAGCTCCTGGAAGATGTGAGAGCTGATTGCTTTAGCTCTGGCTTATCTGGGGCCCTGCTTGGAAGGGAATGTGTAACAGACACTGCGGCGAGCATTTCAGTAGAGAGGCCTCGCCCCATAAAAAGCCCCAGAGAGCAGACAGGGGTTTCCATAACCGCCTGGCAGGTCCAGCAGGCCCCACAGGATGGAGCAGGGGACTTCCTTAAATGGGCTCGCTGGGCCTGGGGCTTGGCATCAGATACAAAGGCAAGAGAAGGACAGAAAGGCAAGCCGGGAGTCGGTCTCCTCTCCCAGCACGCTCCGCTTCAGCCTGGTCACAGACACACATGACCGGGAGAGTTTGAGGGGTGAGGGAGTCGGGATCTGATGATGTGAGGTGACCCCCAGGTCGGGTTTTCGTGTTTGCTCTTGGAAAGCCCAGTTTAATTCAAGGGCCTGCACACTGTTGGCACCAGCTTCCAGTGCATCCTTCAGAAAGGAGAAAGGGGCGAGTGCGAGCCACGCAGGTGGGCGTCTGTCTACCAGGTCAACCCACTAAGCAGCCAAAACTCAAACCCGAAACCCAGGCGCCATTTGTCCAGGGCCTGACCCTTTCACCAGGGTGAAAGCCTGCCAGCTTTTCGCTCCTCCACCCCACGTCAACGTAGCGCTGCCTGCACTGAGTTAACACACCTGCAACCCTGAAGGGTCTAGCGGCCTGGGTCTGTGCAGAGGAGGAGGGAAACAGGCAGCAACTCTCATCAGTTCACAGTTGAATTTTCCTGAACATATTCTCCCCTCTGGGAACTCAGAGAAACCATGGGATACGCACAAGGCGGGGCACAGGTTGACCCCAGCAAACCTCACCCAAGTCTCCTGGGCTCAGGCAACACCCGACTTGGGACACGCGACAGCTCCCCGTGGGAAAAAGGCGACAAGTTCCCTGTTTTCAAACTCTGTACAAAGCCATTGCGTCGCCTTGGTGCCCACGTTCGAGCACGCCATCTCCCACACCGCCGGGCAAGCGAGGCTGCCCTCGGAAACCCCAGCCCCCTTCTTTACAGCAAGCCAGCCCCTAAGGTCCCTAGGGTCCCACGTGTGACTTTATCAGAAGGGCACTTCCATCTGGGGGTGCAAGGAGACTGCACGGCACAGAAAGGCTAGAAAGAAGTGAAATGTCAGGAAATCTGGTGAGTGGGGGTGGGATCAGCAGCATAAAGAGAACTGGAACCAACCACACCAGAAGCTTGTGGAATGCTGGGCGGAGGTGTCTCTCCCACCTCCACTTCCTGGTCTCACCCACCACCGGCATTGCCACAGCTCCTCAGGCATCCCACCCCATCAACACCGGCTGAGAAATTCACACCAGTCCCCTAGATCCCGTTCTTTAATGTCCTTATTTATGTTTATTTGAAAAGCATGGAGGCAGAGACAGACCTCCTCTCTGCCGGTCCACTCTGCAAACGCACAGACAAGGCGAGAGGTAGGAGCCCAGGCGCCTGCACCCTCACCTGCTGCTTCCCAGGATGTGCACTGGCACCAAGTTGGAAGTGCAGCTGGCACTTGAAGCCAGCCACAATGCGATACGGGATGCCAGTGCCCCACTAGGCCAAACACCCACCTGCTCCCCCAAGCTCCCTGGCTCCCCTTTTTAGGATGGGGGAGAAAGAGGAAAGAGAAAGATCAGATACAGCTCCTTCTGCAGATGAGCGAATTGCTTGTGCCTCAGTTTCCCCATTTGCAAAATAGAAATAAAAGGATATGAAATACATGAAGCATGAGATGGGGCTACAGTGACTTAGAGGCACTGCTTTCATAATACAATAATGACGATGATAATAAATCTGCAGTAATGTTATTGGCCAGGCACAGAGCGTAGAGGGAGGAAATAAAAAGCAGACTAAGCCAAACGTCTTGGTGCAGAGAAGCAAAGGGACCACCTGCCCCGCCGTTCAGATGGGCAAGTTTGCCTCCTCCCTGAAGCCAGCCCTCACCGACACCCATCACAACATCCCAGCCACCCCTGCCCTTTCCCACGGCACTGCCCACGCCCCACAGTGCCCTCGGAGGGGGTGCTGACCATTCTCAGCAACCTGCCAGGCTGTGCAATACAGCTCCTCCATTCATTCCCGAGGCCAGCCAGGGAGGAAGGACAAGGGGACCGAGGCTGAGAACCGGGGGACCCCCGTGCCACTGGGTGGATGGCACAGCCTTTCTGATCCCACCGAACGCAGACGGGTCTCAGAGGCAGCCCAGGCTCACCAGGAGGGCTGCAGTCCCCCTGAAAGCACGCGGCGCCCCTGTGGTGACTACACCTGAAGTTCAGAATAACTACGCCCGGCACATGAGCAGGATTTTCGCGTGGGCAAAGACTGGAAGAGCCAGCGCATGGGGGAGGGGGTGCTCTTTTTACCGCTGCTTTGATTGTTACCACACTTGCCCAATCCACTGAAGTCAGGAGGCAGGATAAAGTGGTTGGACGCCAGGCAGGCACCTGGGAACCAGCAAAACCGCAAGAGAACCTGCCCTGTCCCTACTCCCACCCCAGGGCTGCAGGGAAGGGGAACAAAGCGAATTCTAGATTATCACAGTGATAAGATCCAGAAGCCCATCCAGCTTTTGTGTGCATTTTCACTCCCTGAGTCAGAGCGCCTAATTTTTTTTAAAATCATTATTTCTTGAGGAAATAGTAGCTCCAATGAATGTCTTCACCTCTGAGAACAGAGTCACAGCGCTGGGAACTAAGAGGGCTCCGCAGGCACCCCACAAAGGGTTTGTGATGGAGCCTGGGGTCAGAACCCCGAGTTCCAACTCCTGCTCAAGGCTGGCTCTGGCCAATCACGGATCACCGTCCCGTCCTCAGTTTGCTCATCTGGGAAATGGGAATATTCCTGTCCCGCTGTCCCACCTGGCGCAGTCTGCCGCGACAGACTGGCCCTAAAGTGGTCAGGACCGCATGGGAGACACCGAAGGCCACCGAGTGCCGCCCCCTCCCGGGCACACAGTGGTCCAGGCGGTCAGTGCCCGTTCCCCAGCCGGCGCTCGGCGCTCCCCGCCCCACCCCTCCATCGCTGTAAATTCCAAAGCGCTGCCGTTGGAGCCGGGAAGGGAGCTGGCTGGTTCCGACCGCACCCCACCGCGCCCAGGGCCTCCCGCGGTGCCCTCACCTCTGCCCAGGACTCGGCCTCTCTCCAAGTGCCGCCGGGGCACGGTGAACCTGTAGCTCTCGGCGCCAAAGCCGGGGTGGCAGGGCTCGGGCTCCTGGCAGAGCGTCGAGGAGACCTGGACAGGTGGAAAGGCACCGAGCTGGGGTTACTCAGTGGGGCGAGGGGCTCCCTCCCGCCCACACCGAAACCGACCGCCCCGCCTCGGGCGGGCGTCGACGTCATCCTCTCCTACCCCGAAACTCTCGGGGGAGGGGGCGCGGGGGCACCTCCGGCGCGGCCACCTTGCCCTCGTCTCACCGGAGCGCTTTCTACGCCTCCCGACCCCACTTTGCGTGGCCTGGTTCCTCGCCTGCTCGTCTTCCCCCCTCGTCCCCGGGGTCCCCCTTGGCTCTGTACGCGGCAGGTCCTTTACCTGTACCGAAGCCCCTTCCCTCACCTGAGCGAGTCCCCACTGCTGCTGGCTCCCCCTCTTTCCCACATTCGGACCCTAGTCCCGCCGCGACCCAGCGCCCCCAGGCGAGGCGCGCCCCCAACCTGGGCCGCTGCCCGAGGGGGCGGGCAAAGCCGCGCGCGTCCCTGCCCCCTTCCACGCCGGAGCGCCGCGCGGCTCCCAGGCCGTTCCGGCGCTTGGGATCCAAACTTTCTTGCAAGCAGAGAAGCGAAGAAGACGCGGGAGAGGACGGGGCGCGGGGCGGGACCCGACGTACCTGCAGCAGCAGCAGCAGCGACAGCGCGGGAGAACCGCGGCGTGGAGGACCCATGGCGCGCCGGCGGGGGCCGAGCGAGGGCGAGGGCCGGGCGCGGTCGGCTCGGCTCGGGCTGGGCTGGGCCGAGCTACAGTCGGGCCGGACTTCCGCGAACTCGCAGGTGCTCCGCGGCTCCGACGCCACTGAGCCGGGCAGCGCCGCAGCCGCCAGGTGAGCCCCGAGGGCTCCGCCCCTGGCGGCTCTGATTGGCTGAGGATGCACCTGCCTGGCAGCAGCCAATGAGCGGCGCGGCGCGGCCTCCTCTTCCTCCGCGGGGCAGAGCAGACGCCACGCCCCGGTCCCGGCCCCGGCCCCGCCTTGGGCCCCGCGTCCGCCGATCCGCGACCCCCAGCTGATGGCCGGCGGAGAGAGGGCCAGCTATGGACCTGCAGGATTCCGAACCCACCACGGTGGAATCCTAGCCCCACTGGTGGCTCCCTACAACCTGAGGTCAGAAAGGACTTCAGCCTTTAGCTGTTTTTTTCCCCCCAAAATCTACCTTTCAGCTGCCCTCTTCCATGGGCCAGTGAATTAGTAAATACAATTAGTAAGACCAGCGTTAGTGCACGATGACAGCCATGTACAGGGCAGGCATTTTGCATGGCCATGAAGACACCAGCTCTATGAGAGTGCCTGGGTTCGAGTCCTGGCTCCACACCCCAGCTCTGCTCCCGATTCTTCCTGCTGGTGCAGACCCTGGAAGGCCACTCCAGGGGCTGATGCCACGCAGGAGGAAAACTGGGTTGAGTCCACCTCTGGCTGTTGCAGGCATTTGGGGAATGAACCAGCAGATGGGTGGAAGAAAGAAGGTTCCGGAAGGAAGGAAGCTCTCTGAAGGCATGAGGAGTAACAATAGTGACACTGGGTGCTGGGCTCCAAGCTGAGCATAAACACATCTCAAAACAGCACAGAGCTGTGTTATTTATTCCCATCGAATAGATGGGCAACTAGGGCAGAGAGGCTGAGGCCAGTAGGGGGTGACTGAGGACAGGAACCCACCACCCTCTGATTCCAGCCCTTCTACCAGCTGCACCCGGGTGGCCTGATAGTCTTCCAGCTGGAACTGTGGTTTTTAATCTGTTTTTATGGTTTTTTTTTATTTATTTCCATCCACTTGAAGGGCAGAGCAAAGAGGAAAGGGAAAGAGAGAGAGGAGAGAGACAGGGAGAATGCTCTGTCCACTGGTTCACTCCCTAAATAGTTGTTAACACCTAGGCTGGGCCTGCCTGCATTAGCAGGAAATGAGTGGGAAGTGGAGTAGCTGGGGCTGGAGCCAGACACTCTGACATGGGCTGGGCGCCCTCAATCTGTTTTTTAATGTTAACCTGGAAGAGACCCTTTGGAGGCCACTCATTGGTTATTTGCAAGTAACTCACTCAATAACACAGAGCGAGTCAGTGTTAAAGCCAAGACCAGAACCCAAGACCTCTTGATCTCCACTTGGGGGCCCGGAATGACACGGGCCCACCGCAGCAGCCACCGCCTTCTCTAACTTGTCACAGGCGAAACAGTTTCAGGGAGTAGGTGCTCACTGCAGCAGCTGGGACCCCACTCGATCCCAAATCCCATACCAGGTGCCTGCATTCCGGTCCCAGCTCCACTTCCTATTGCAGCTCCCTGCTCACACACACCCTGGGAAGGCAATCCCCGGGCCCCTCCCACCTGTACTGGAGACCAGGATGGAGTTCCAGTCTCCTGGCTTCAGGCTGGCCCAGGCCCGGCTGGTGCAGGTATTTGGGGAGTGAATCAGTGGACAGATCTCTCTTTCAAATTAAAATGAAAATAAATAAAAATTAAAATAATTTTAGGATCCAAGGCGGGACAGACCGGCAAGCGTTGGACCAGGCAGCTTTCCCCTCTGCCCACTGTGGCCGGCGGCATCTGCATGGTTGGCTGCCCTGCTTCCCCTCCTCTTCCCAGCATGCTCAGGATCGCAGAGCAGTCTGCGGGGCCACTCACCAGCCTGTGGCCTGGGGCACCGCAGTGTTCTCATCTGTGTAATGAGCTGGCGGTAGATAATGCGAAAGCCATCAGCCAGCAGAATGTTTGGGGTGGCGGTTGTTCCTTTGAAGGGCCCCTCCCCTCCGTTCCTTTGTCTGGAATATTCCACCCAGAGCCAAAGAGGATGGGGGCCCAGGAGGGCACCTTCTCCACTGCTTATCTTAAACCGGGACAGCGTTTTCAGGCAGCCCGGTGCCCCCAGAGCTGACCCCTGGGATCACATGGGTTTCCAAGCACACACCCAGGCCTAGACTCTGGTTTCTAGATTTCGGCATCTTGGCTCCCTCTGCCTCTTAACCCACCAGGAGGCCCAGAGGGAGAAGGCTCCGGCATTTCCTCTCCCACCGAGGCTCCTGCAGGACTGAGCATTAAACAAGATAATGGAAATACAGACCGAGGCGCTGCCCCTCTGGGGCAGCCTTGTTCGTTTATTTTGTTTCTCCCAGTTATGTAAAAATACATATTTGATGCCGCCCCTGGGCCCAGGGAGCCTGTGGGGCTCTGCTTTCTTCTACCCAGCAGGCCCTGGCCTTGCCCTCCGCGGCAACTTCTCATCGACTCTTCCATTACACTCTGCTAATTCAATAAAAAGGGTTTTAGCCAACAATTAGGGGCAGGGAGGACAGGTCAGGCCTGATGCGGGCTTCAGACTTCTCGGCAAGTCCTTCTGCAAGCTCCCAGCAGGGTCCAGAGGGCCCCGCCCCTACCCTGCTGTCCAGGCTGGGGAGGGGACAGAGAAGGGTGCCCCGAGGGACTGCCCTGGCGCCCTCTTTGGGTACCTCTTTGTGAGGATCCCAGGAGGTACTGCGGGCCCCTAGTGCACCAGTCCAGCTCTGTGGCTCATGGCCTCTGACCTCTGACCTCAGGCTTTCCCCCAAGTCACTTTGTCTCTGCCAGCCTCACTTTCCTCATCTGTAAAATGGGTGTGATTGGCCTCGGTTCCCATGGTTCTCCTAAGCGCTAGCATTCCTGGCCCAATACCTGCCCTTCCTGCTTCCAGGCAAAATGACGCATTCCCTGGGAGCTCCCCCTGCCCCAGGCTCTCCTTCCTCTCCCCCTCACCCTCCCCCAGACCCGGAAGTCTGAAGAGATAGCTATCTGAGGACAACTTTCACTGCTAGCTGGTCCTAGGGACCCTCCCAGGCTCATTTGCATTTGAAAGCGCCTCACAGGGTGACCTTGCTTCTGGCCAAGCAATGAAAGCTTGGGACCTCCTAAGCTCCTCCCAGGTGTCCGTGCATGGGCTTCCTGGGTGGGGTCCAGGGCCCCCCTGAGATTGTATGCAAACCTGCCATGTAGCTGGTGAGGCGGATTCTCCCTTAGCTTCTCACCCAGGGGAGAGAACCCAAAACCCAGGAGTTGAGCTCTCCCCCAGGGCCAGTTGCTCACTGTGGAATTTCAGGCATCAACAACAGGGAGAAGAAATGTTGGCCTCCAGGAAGATTGCAGACCCTGCCGCCCGGTGCCAACCCGCATCCGGCCAGCGATGGCGCGGGTCCGCCTTGCAGGGTGTGGCTCTGAGGGACTTTTCACTCCTGGCTCTCCAGGCCACTGGTCGGCTGTGGGCGCTCACTAATGATGATGCCCCCAGATGGCCGGTGCCTTTCCTCCCCGGGCAAGGGGCATTGATAACAGTGCTCAGAATTGGGTGTGTGTGTGTGGCAGGGGTGTGCTGCTCTGCTGGGGAGGAGCCCAGGCCCAGGGAGAGTGGAATCACGTGGGTGGTGCCAGATCAGGCCTAGGTGCTTGGAAAGAGGGGGGTCCCATTCCTGCAGCCCCTGGGGGCTCCTGACACCTCCCTTGAGCTGGCTACCTGGCAGCACTGCCTTCAGCATGCTGTTAAAACAGTGGTCCCTGATGAGGTGCCGAATTTTGCAGCTCAGCCACTCACATCTGCAAAGCACAGTTGCATTTCAAACATAGCATAAAGAAAACAGAGGCAGGCCTGTGGTGCAGCTGGTTAAGCCACCACGTGGGACGCCGCATGGGGAAGGAGCTGGTTCCAGGCCTCCTGTTCAGCTTCTGATCCAGCTTCCTGCTGATGCACGCTGGGAGGCAGCAGCCGGTGATGGCTCAAATGCTTGGGTCTCTGTCACCTACATGGGAGACCCAGATAGAGATGGGCTCTTGGCTTCCAGGCCCAGCCCTGCATGTGAATATGGACCTCTCTCTCTCTCTCTCTCTCTCTCTCTCTCTCTGCTACTCTTTCAAACAGGTGAACATAAATAAGTAAACAGTAAAAAGAAGAAAAGGAAAACAGTGCAATGTACAGTCTTTCCACAGGGCCTCTGGGGGGCTATTCCAGGACCCCTGCAGACGCCAGCGTCTGAGGGTGCTCGAGACCCTCATGTAAAATGGCATAGGATTTGCATAGAACCTGGGCACAGGGCACAGTCTCCCTTACCTTTCAAAACATCTCCAGGGGCCAGCACCTGGCACCAACATTCCATAGGGGCTCCCATCAAGTCCTGGCTGCTCCACTTCCGATTCAGCTCCCTGCTAATGGGCCTGGGAAAGCAGCCGAAGATGGCCCCTGCACCCATATGGGAGACATGGAAAAAGCTCCTGGCTCCTAGCTTCAGTCTAGCCCAGCCCCTAGCTGTTGAGGCCATTTGGGGAGTGAACCAGGAGATGAAAATCAATCCATCTCTCTTTCTGTCACACTTTAAATAAAAAATTATAAATCTTTTTACAAACTCCAAATTACTTATAATATCCAACATAATATAACCACTTTTTGCCTCCAAGATTTATTTTTATTTGAAAGACAAAGTGACAGAGAGAAGGGAGAGACAGAGATCTTCCATCTGCTGGCTCACTCCCCAGATGGCCACAAAGGCCAGGCCAGTACGGGGCCAAGCTTAAGCCAGGAGTCAGGAGCTCCATCTCGTCTCCCACATGAGTGGCAGGGGCCCGAGCACTTGGGCTATCATCAGCTGCTTTCCCAGGCCGTTAGCAGGGAGCTGGAATGGGGTTGGCACTGCGGTGCAGCAGGTTAAGCTGCCACCTGCAACACCAGCATCCCATATGGGTGCCAGTTTCCATACAGGCTGCTCCACTTCCAAGTCAGCTCCTTCCTAATGTGCCTGGAAAAGCAGCAAAAGATGGCTCAAGTGGAGTAGCCAGGACTCAAACTGGTGCTCATGTGGGGCCAGTGCATTTTGTTAACTTTGAGAAGCAGAAACAGATACAGATAGAGACCTGTCATCTACCCTGTCAATCCTCAAATGCCCACAGTGGCCAGTGCTGGGCTGGGGCCAAAGCTGAGAGTGGGGAACATAATCCAGGTCTCCCACGTGGGCAGCGAGAACCTGGAGGTGGCCATCACCACCCCCTCCCAGTGTCTGCACTGGCAGGAAGCTGGGGTCAGG